TAGAACTGCCCGCGGGCAAACTGGCAGCGCTTTCGAGCAGATTCCGCCGAGGCTGTGGAGACCGGAGAGCGCGGCCGGCAGGCCGTCCTCCGCAGCGGCGCCGGTTCAAGGTCTTTGGGCTGCCCGCTCATTACCCGAGAGTAGCGCAGGTGAGCCGAAGGGAGGATGCCGGGCTGCTGGAGCTGGGCTGCCGAAATCCGGACGCCGCCAGAGGGCAGCTAAGAGGAAGGGACGTGGTGGGACTGGACTTTCGGGGCAACGGGCCGGGCCGGGCCGGGGTTCCGCCGGGCGCTAAACGGCGTGGCGGGGCTCAAAAGGTAAGTCCCTTCCGAAGCGAGACCGGGAGCCCCTTTGCAGCAAGGCGGTTGACGGGGACTGCAGCAGGCTGGCCCCGCACGAGCCGGTCCCCGGGCGAGAAGTCCAGCCTTCTGGACCGCAAGGAGGACAGATCACTCGGGGAGACGGAGCCCAGCCGGGCACGGAGGCTTCCTTCCCCAAATACCTCGGATTTGCTTGGAAAGGAGGCCGGCAGAGAAGAAGGTGGCCGGGCCCTCTCCCGGAGGTCGGAAGCCGAAGGACGCCAAGCCGCAGCCGCGACGGGCACGCCCGGCGGAATCACGGCCGTGGGATCCAAACGCCTGAAGAGGAACGAGAAGGTTCAGCCCAGCCGAGCGGTTTTCCTCCCGCAGCTGGCGAGAAGAGCGCTGCCTTGTTACCGGCGAGACCCTCTGCTCTGAAGGAAGCCCGTTCAGTTCAACGGGGTCGTCTCCGCTCTAGCCGTCTGCTCAAATTAGGTTACTGGGATTTACTCCATTCTTTGAGTTTCTAGTCCTCATGGGGGAGTACCCACGCTGTCTGACATTCGGGAAGCTGTAGCCCAACCGCGAAGTCGAGGACGCGCTGCGGTTGGGGACTTTCCCCCTTTCCAAGTAACGACTGATTTTTTTTCTTTTTCTTTCTTTTTCGGGGGGAGGGGGACAAATTACTCCGTCTTCTCCCTCCTCTCTTCGTAACACCCTGCCTGGCTAAGAGTTCTGGAAAGCCCAGAATGTTGGAATTGTCCGCTTGTGGAATTGTCAATGCGTGTTGGAAGTTTTGCTCCGTACAGACGCCCACCCGCCGCGATGGCTACGTTCCTGTATCCTAGCTCCGTGTGTGTGCGCGCGCGCGTGTGTACTAACACAGTGCGTACACACGGTGTCACTGTCTTCAAAGAGACCGATTTTTTTTCCCCGGGCAGGTTTCAATTCATTCTTTTGACTTGTAGGGGGCAGCAAACTCCAGGGAGAGGTTGCTGCTAAAACAAAAAATCGGTGCGGCTCCGCGGATTTCCACTGCCTTTGCGGGCCAGCAGTGCGACCACCCTTGCCCATAACCCCTGAGGCTTTGCATTCTTGAAACAATTTCACAGGGGAGGGAATGGAAAGGAAGCGATGTATGTAAAGGTGCTAAATGTTATGGACCAACGCAGTATGTCTTGGACCCCGAAGAAGCGGGAGGTTTGCGTCTAGATTTACAAAACTAGTTCGCGCGGTAAAAGGTCTCGATTTTCCGTTATCCCTGATTTACAGGACAGACGGTGCCATTTCAGGATCCGTAATTATGTGAATACATGTGTTGGTAGGAATTTTATTTCAAAGGACTGCGGTTTTGGGGGTGGTTTAATTAGGGGGAAACAATAAATATCTTTCTCTTATTTTTGGTAATTTAATACAAATGTCCTTTCCAGAAAATTGACCATCAGGAATCTAGGTATAGAAAGCAAGATTTATTCTCAAAGAGAAGAAAACCTACTTTTTCCTTCGAAAATTCTATCAGATATTTACAGTACATGATTATGATAATTAATGCATAATTAGATCCTTTCCCCCCCGTTTCTGTCTGTCCCTCTGTCTAGTTCAATTCCCAAACCAGACCAATTATTTCATTCATATTTTCGGCCAATATTTAATCAGACTTTGGAAAGCAGATTAATCCTCATCATTATTCAGAACAAAAACATGACAGCATTTAAGAATATTTCAAACCAAAAAATTTTCTTGACTTAATTTAACATTACTAATTTCTTTAGCTTTTTTCATCTCTTTGCTGTCTTTTCACACAAGGACACCTCCCTGGCCCCCGGGGGGAAAAGTCAAGTGAGAAAAATCGAAAAAAAAGTTATTTTATTTTTTTAAAGGATTTCTTTAAAGCTTCCTTTTATACCTAGTTTAAATAATTGGCCCTCAGTTCCCTGCATTTGAAAAGACAAATATTCTCTGAGTTCGTCCTCAGAAGAAGTCAGCTTTTCCGATGCGTTTCTTCCAAAGCTGATTTTTATTTCTTTGTAATTTTCATACTGGAGCACTGTAGTTTCCCAGCTTCGTTTCCCCAAACATAAACGCTTCTCTGAACTCCGAAGTAAAAATGTCCCTTTTATTATAAATAAATGCATTTAGAAAGGCAAAGACTATTTTAAATTTGTATTCATTTTAAAGCATGCTAAATTGAAATCAGTGGATCAAAACCACTCCTTCTGGAAGAGAAAATTGGGGAAACCATCAGAAGGCGATCGGGCGGTGGTCCCCACCCGTTTAATCTTTCCTCCCTTCGAAAAGTTCGCGTTTTAGACGCCACTGGGCATAATCCGTGGGAGAAAGCCCACACGGTTACAGAGGCAATTACTTCCAAGTATACCTAACACTGCGGAGCAGTCTCACCTCATTCCTAAAAGAGCCAGGATGGAAACGTTTGCAAAAAAACCCAAAACCAAAACGGTGGCAAAAATAGAGAAGAGAGTTTAAACGTCTGGTCCAATTTCTCCTGTCCTCCCCTTTTTAAAAAGGGACTGAGAAGTGGTGGTGGTAAAACACTTTTAGGGGTCACTTTCTCTGTCTCCGGTCCCCGTGTTTGCTACCCAAACGAAAGGAGATCTTTGTCAGCCCGAAAAAGACAGAAAAATCACACCGAGTTAATTATCCGGTCCTGCGTGTCTCTAATGGAATAAATCAAAGGGCGGGGCGGGGGAAGGAAGGTGGGGAAAGGGCAGTTAGGAGATTCAGGCCAGCTTTACCGAATAATATTCAACCCCGTTATCTGTGCACGTCTTAAGCGCGCCTAAGCACGTAAGAAATCAATCAGCACATTTCATGCCAAGTGGGACCCTCTGCGCAAAACACCTTTCCCCCTTTCCCTCCTCCGCCAGAGTCCCTCCTCTCTTAATTCCAGGTATTTAGGATGGAGCTGTTAATTGAGTTTAGGACCGAAGTGTGAAGGCGGCTTCCCCAGAATTTCCCTTCACCCAACTCGGCTCCTTCGGCACAGCGAATCCCAGAGCGCCGCGACACGACGGGAGGACCCTCTCGGCGCGGTCGCTTCCGCACCTTTCAGAAACGGGTCCGCCTGCGGAGGATGGCCGGTGTCCTTATGGAAAACCGGCAGGCTGGCCTTGAAGCCGAACCTGCTTAAAAACAGCGTTTTCGAAAAGTTACGCGCAGGAGACTCTGGGGAGGTTCTCCTCCTCCTCCTCGCGTTGAGAGGCTCAGATTCCATCCACGGTGAGGAAGGTTAATTGCCACGATGGTTAATGACGATGATGATTTAATAACAACGGTCACACTTCAGGGCAGAGGGGGGCAATTATCGTCTGCATCATCATCATCATCATCATCATCATCATCACGAGCACGAATTCCGCCAGAGCAACCTTCTCCCCCGTCTTTCCTCTGCTCTCCCGTAACAGCTTCGAGGGACTCGGGAGAGGCCTCCCCAGCACCGCGCCTAACCCCGGGGTGCTCCCCGGAATCCCGGTGTCCTCCCGGCGCCTTCCTCCGCCTCGCCCATTGGCCGAGCCAGACCCCGAGCCGGCTTCCATTGGACGACAGCAGAGGGAGGGGCCAGCGAGGAGTCAAAACTGGCCTTCGCCAAGAGAATTTTGGAAAGTTCTCCCCGGCCCTTGAAGGGGGAGCTCGCTTCGCGCGGGGCGCTGCCGAGGCTCCGGAGTGGCGCGCACGCCCGTTTATTTTGATTCGGTGCGCTTGTTTTTGTTTACACGCCGCTGGCGCTTCACTTTCGCCCGGAAGGAACGGGGACTGCCTCGTGAAAGCGTTGGGGAGCGAGCCACCAAGCGCGCTGCCTTCATCCTCTTTCTTGGTCTGTTATTATTATTATTTTTTTCTGCAAGATTTTTTTTGTCCTGTGCGGCAGCGCGAGCAGATTA